AACCGTTGATAAGGCTGCTACCTGTCGTTTTAATGCAGTGGTCAGGGAACAGGGGTAAATTACCCCAAATGGGGTAAAAGTGAAAATCTGGGGGTAATGAGGAGGTTGCGCTGGCCAATGGCGGAACTATCGGCATAGCAGCAGTTATTAAAACACCCTTGAGGCAAATTTATCCCCTCCACCCCACCCTTGTTTCCTGGGTCGGAAATGACTCCAGGCTAGATTCTGCAAGAGCCGCGCCGCCCGTTTTTTAGGGGAAGGCGAGCTTCTGGCATAGGGCAGAGCATTTTGGGAAAAGGGACGCTTTCCCCCGCGCTGCGATGACCGCACGCTTTTCGCGCGCAGTTTGTGTCACCGTGGCTCCCAAATATCATCCTCCCTTCCCGCTTCCTCGCCCCCAGGCCCTGCCTGCCTGCCAACTAGCCAGCCAGCCCGGCTCCCTCCCCGAAGCCTCTCATCACTGCCAGGCACACAGGAAGCGAAGAGGCACCTGCAACTGCCGCCTTGGCCCCGAGAAAATTCCCAGAAGCCCTCGGGAAGCCTGGTGACATTTCATTCCCTGGAGCGAGCTATCCCGCCTTCTTCCCAGCCGCGGGGGGGGGGAGGGCACCTCCTCCCGCCTCGACCTCCAAATTATGTGTCAGCAGCCTGAGGTGGCCGGGGAGGGGGAGAGGCCGGGAGGGGTAACGTCTGCGTTTATAAATTTTTTGGGGGGTAAGAGGTAAAAAAGTTCCCTGACCCCTGTTTTAATGTGTTAGGGGACAGCCCCTTACTGAGTCCCTCCTGCAGGAAGTCTAAAACTTGAGCAATTGAGGGGGAGGCAGGGTAATTTGGAGCTTGTCACGCTATTTGCAAAAGATGGACCAAGTGGCATTGTAGATTCGTATAGTTGAGGGCCGTCTGGCTGCTAGTATAGTGTCAATGACCCTGCTAGATAGGTTTTCCCTCTTCAGACGGTCCCGCTCAACCTCCAAACGGTTAATTGGAGCCATTAAGGGTCCGGGTGGAGAAGGGGTCCTTGAGACAGCGAGATCTGTCAGCGAGAGACTGCGGAGGTTCGCAAACCAAGGACGTCTGGGCCAGTAAGGTGCTACAAGAAGGAGTTCTGCTTTCTCGTGAAGCAACTTCTGGATGACCCTGGGCACTAGCGCTAGGGGAGGGAATGCATACAGTAGCCCCATGGGCCAGGGGCAGCATAACGCATTGTGATTTTCTGCCCCTTGGGATGGGAACCTTGAAACGAACCTTGGGAGCTGGGCATTGAGAGGGGAGGCAAACAGGTCCACTACTGGTTGCCCGAAAATGGATGCCGCCTCCTTGAACAGGGATGGTTGGAGGCACCACTCCGACTGGTCTATGGAAGCACTGCTCAACAAGTCTGCTTGGATGTTTGATAACCCTGAGATGTGTTCTGCCCTGATGGAGAGGAGGTTGGACTCCGCCCAGCGGCAGAGGCGCTCGGCCTCCCTCATCAATCATAATGATTGTGTGCCCCCCTGCTTGTTGATGTGGGCTTTGGCTGTCACATTGTCTGTGAGGATGAAGATGTGGTGGCTGCGTACTTGAGGGAGGAAGCTGTAAAGGGCCAGGTGCACGGCATGAAGTTCCAGGCAGTTTATGTTGCATGCTCGCTCTGTCACTGACCATCTGCCCTGTGATGTGAGGGACTGAACATGAGCGCCCCATCCGAATAGACTGGCGTCTGTGGTGACCGTAAGTCTTTGGGGCTCCTTGAAGAGGCAGCCTCTGTTGATGGACGATTTGCTCCACCAAAGGAGGGATGTGAGGACCCTTGGTGGTACCCTGACCTTGAGTTTTGAGTTGCTTCTGCCGGATCTCTGGTATGGAGGCAGGAACCACTGGAGGGATCTGGTGTGTAGTCGGGCCCAGGAAATAACGGAAATACATGAAATCATTTTTCCCAGTAATTGTGATAATTCCAGCAGGGAAGCCCTCCTCAGACGCCTGATGGTTTTAATGGATTTCTGGATACCGAGGAGTCTATCTGAAGAAAGAAACACCTTCCCTTTCAGGGTGTCAATCACCGTCCCTAGATGGGTTATTCTGGTGGAAGGGACAGTAGTTACTGCCCCTTTTGTTTCGGTCAGCTGAGTCGGCACGGTTGTGGGATTGACCCAACCCGAAGGGTGGGGGCCTTTGGTACCTAGGGGAGAAGGGGGCCTGGTAAAAGGGCCGAAAGGGACCTCTCCGAAAGGGCTGAGGTTCTAGATTTTGACCTCCGGGTGAGGGAGGGGAGAACTTTCTTCTTATTGCAACCCTCAACCAATAGGGGGTCCAAGGACGGTCCGAATAATTTGTTTCTCGCAATGGGAGCAGAAGCCAATTTGACCTTATTTTTAAGATCTGCCTGCCAATGCTTCAGCCAGAGCAGGCGGTGGGCTGTGACGTGGGATGTGATAGCTCTGGTGGAGAATTTAACACAGTGATAGGTGGCACCGACCGAGAACTCAGCTGCGGCTGTGATCTTGGCGATGTCCTGATGCGCTCTGACACTGGACGGTGGAACATGTTGTTTGAGCTGGCGGAGCCAGCGAATGGATGAACGAGTGAAGAAAGAGGAGACCGTGGCCAATCTGATTGCCCAGGCATCCGACTGGTGTGCCCAGCGCAAGGCCAGCTCGGTCCGCTTCTCCTCCGGCTTGAGGGCCTCCAGAGCGTCACTCAGGGTAGAGGAAGAGGCGAGGCCCTCTATGGGATCATCAACCTCTGGGGTAACCAATAATTGAGAAAATTCTGGGTCCAAATTGAAGAATTTTTTATCGTGGCCCAAAGGGGCAGGGGTCGCTGCCGCAGAGGCCAACTGTTTAACCACCAGATCAGAAAAAATGGGAGGAGTTGGGATGACTTTGGCCTCCACCACGGGTTGTTTAAAGATGGAGTCCTCTGGGCCCTCTGAAGTGAGGGGAGTGGGGTCAGAGGGTGGCTGCGTATTTAGGCCCGAAATATTTTTGGCCTTGAATAGAAGGGACTTGAATAATTGTGGTTTAAATAGTCCCACGAAGGCGGGTTGATCCAGAGTGAGACCCTCGTCCTCGGACATTTCCCCTTCCAATGGGTCCACCTCTGAAAGAGGTTCACTGTATTGCATGGACCCCAAGTCAAACTCCTCCTCTTCCCTGGTTAGATCTAGGTCCCCTTCCTCCTCCTCCTCCCTTACTGCAGGGGGAACCTCCCCCTGCAGGAGTACCTGTCCATGGATCGGCTCCGATCTTGGTATGGATCTTACGGAATGAGACTCGTGTTTAGAGGCTGCCATGTAGTGCCCAGGCCTGGCTATTTGCTGGAGTCCCGCTGTGATGCCTTGGCAGATAGCCAACTCCTTCCAGGATCATAATTTCTCTGGGACTTTGTCTATGAGTGATTCCTCCTGGCGTAGGCCAGCCGCAGTAGGTGTGAAGGTGGCTTCAAGAGCTCTTCTAGCCGGAGTTTCAGGAATCAGCGCCTGATGACCATGAGTGGGCGAGCTGCGCCTGGATGTAGAAGGAAAATCTGGAGGGGGGGAGCAGAGGTAGAGGGAGTGGAGGATAGTAGAACTGGAGCAGGGGCCTCTTTAGAGTGCCTGGTAATCTCTCTCTCCAGGACCCTATGGCGCCTCAGGGCATCCCTCTGGGAGGCTTTGGAGGTCTCCTTAGCCTGTCTGCGCAAGTGATGGGTCTTAGATTTAGCCTTCAGAGAAGGTCCTCGGAGGTGTTACCCTCTGCCATTTCTGTGAGAAATAAGAGTACTGCAAAATATGAGTCGGATTGAAGGCGGTTGGCGCGCCCAGGGGCCAATCTGTAGCAAGACCAGGAGCCCTGATAATTATCTCACTTTCCCCCGTTCGTATTTTGATTATATATATATATAAATTTAGCCAAGACCGAAAAAAGAAAGAAATTCCAATCAGCCGAAAAGAGAACACCTGAGACCCAGTGAAGTAAGGAAAAGCTAGAGCCTGGAGCAACCTTCCTTCCCAGGCAACACTGGGTGTGGGTTGCTGCTGCTACTGCGCAGTTAAAAATAAGCTGTGGGAAAAGCTAACTATGAATTCAGAATTAAAAAACAAACCTCAATTTTCAAATGACTACGGGAGAGGTTAAATCGCTCTGAAGCAGGCCTACGGGTCCTGCAACGATGAGAGGAGATTTCACACAGCAAGGAAATTAACAAATAAAATGGCGGCGGCCACGAGGAGAAGGCTTGCAGGCAACTCGGTGACAATTTTTTTTGCCAAGGAATGAGCCTGGGTTCTTAAATAAAGAGAGAGGGGCAGGGAAGGGGGGGATTAGCCCTTCTTAGCTATAAACAGCGTTCTGCAGGAGGAGATTAAATCGAACGAATCAATCCGAGCTGAAACAAAGCCGCAGGTTGCAAAAGGGAGCGAAGCGGCACAACAAGGAAGGGGGGGGGGTAGTGCGAAGGCACTACTAGCTTTCCCCCTTGCCACCCCTGGGGGCACAAAAGGAGCGCTTCCCCTGGGTGGAAATAAAACGAACTGACCACTTGCGCAGGGCTAATTGAAAGAGAAGCAAATACAACCTGAAAATTCAGAAGAAAAAATGATTGAAGACAACGAACTCTTGAATTGGCCAAGGAGCTATTCTATGCACTGCCTGTCTCGCACAAGGCTGAGCAAGAATTGGGGAACCCTGTGGAGGAGACACGTGGTGGAGGAGGAGCATTCCTCAAAATCAAGCTCAGCCTATGAATGCAGAAACTGAAGCACCACCCACTACTGGATGCTCTGAGCAGCTCTGAGGAGAATCACTCTTAATGGTAAAAAAAATGACTGGTATTTTTATACCGTAGAACTCTCATTCCAAACTGAATAGATAGTTACTTTATAGTTTCTTTATAATTTTATAATGGTGTCCTCGTTTTATTCCTGGCCGCTTTAATGATTACTGTTCTTAGAGGATTCCTCCTTTTTGTCAATACAACCCAGAGATCATAGTTGCTTGCTGAACTCTGCATGGTGCAACTGTCCTGAAAAACATTCAACATGTCGTTATTACATTTCAACCATGATAACCTTCTTAGATCTGATGGCATTTGGTCTTGTGGGTGTTTGACTTGGGGGGCAGAGGATGGGACAGCAACACAATAATTCCATTCTTTTTTATTTGGCTTAGTCCTGATGGTGTTGTTGAAGGATTACTCTCTACTGTTAAAACTCAGACATGGACACCAAAATTAATATTACATTAAGACTTTCATCTGCTCCCTCATGCTGTTCAACTGCTGAGGAGTTAAGCTAAAACTTTCCAGGGAACATCATCAGTATAAAGAGATTCCTAAATCTACTGCACTATGTTACCTAACATCAAAAAAGTGACTGAATATTCCCAGAGTGATAATGAGGAAAAAGTTAAAATAAAATCTAAGCCAAATGGAGGTGATGTTATTAAATAGGAAACTATATTAAGATGAAGTTTAGCTTGCACTGAAAGAGGCTTCACTGCTATGAAGAAATATACTGACACCCTAAGTATGCTCCTACATTCTCAGTATTTCTAGTAAATTTAAAAATAATTTAAAACATTGAAAAGTCTTACCCCAAATTTTCCCTTATTTATTTAATTTTTATGCTGTCCATCTCCCCTACAAGATAACTCTGGGCTTCCTTCCAGGTGTATATGCAGGATATGGTTTAAAAAGTCAAGATGGAAGCAACAATGGTGCAACTAAAACTATTCTTTATGGATCACATGAGTAACGCATGTAAAAAAAAAAAAAGAGTGCCATTTGGACTTCTCTGATGCCCCCTGGACACCCCTGTTCCCTTCAAATATATTTTCCAATGGGACCCCAATATATTATGGATCTTGTTCTGTCATTCAGTTGGTCATCCTTACCAGTGAAGAGTATATAGCAGCTTCTTACAGAAAAAAACAATTGCTTCTGGGCATAAATTAAGAAGCTTCTACATAATTAAGGTAATAATTAGCTAATTAGCTAATTATAATTAGATAATTAAGAGATGTAAAGAGAAAACAAAGATACCTGAAATATTATAAAGAATTCATCCTTCCTGGGTGATTTTGCATCTTCAGCCATACTTCAGAATCTTAACAGCTTCCTAGAAATAGATACACCCGGTTAAATAAAGTATTCTCAGTGTACATTGTTGACTACATACGCTTTACTGTAATCTTCAGTTATTTCTCAAAGTTCATCTAAGAATTATCAATTGCAAATGAAAATAACCCTTCTGGGAGATGGGGTATACAGATTTATGTAGAACTTTAAAATCCATTTCTATCCCAAATAAAAATATAATTTTGTTTCTTCTAAATACTACGACTACCAACAGTGCAAATCAACTTACCACTTCCTTATAATATGGGAATGCTCTGCATATTCTTCAACTCATTAATTTCCCCACCATTACCCTTCCCATGTATACCTGAATCGCTGACAAGGTTCTCCTCTAACATACTTAGAAAAATTGATATACTTCACATGTTCTGCTCAAAAAATAGGATTGCATTAAAACATTCAAAAATAGGATTATAAAAAGTTGGAAGACAGATAAAAAGTAGCATTTTGAATTGTAACAGTGCTCTTCTTCTAATAAATGACTAGGAAAAAAATTTCAGTTAAAACATTGCATTGAATTTGGGTTAGTATGCTTGAAGCGGAGTGGGAGTGACCAGGGCACTGGAATTTCTAAAACAATTGTGTAAAGCTGCCAAGAAAACCACCTGGTTGCAGTTGTCAAGAACTGAGCTCAAGTAAAGGATCTCTTTAAAAAGCTCTGTGTATTCTGTTCAAAGCCATAAATATAGACTACAGAATTTAATAAACTAATTCTCCATTTCTAGAAGATTTCACTGCAAAGAGAAGTTTGAAAATGTATGGTAAGGAATAGTAATCATTGGGTTGGAAAGCAGGATGCTGCCCATATACAACACTAGCAAAAACAGAATTCAGTAAAATAATTGAATATATATCTAAATACAATCATATATTAAGCACTGAATCCAGCTTTTCTAACCATAGAACCAATGTTACATATAGCCCCAGTTCAAGTAGTGCAAACTTCCTTCACTTCTTTTACAGCCACAATTTTTGGATTTTAATTTTCAGTCCAGAGTACAATTAGGAATTTTACTTGCAAGTAAGAATCACAATTAAAGCAATGATATTAGATAAAAAAATTGAATAAACAGATTGTGTAATTTACATAGAAAACTAAATTTGTTTTTATGAAACATTACTATTTTAGATTAAGTAAATGTTTTAAATTTTAATTTAATAATATTGGCAAAATTATGAACGAAGATCCATTATTCATTAAACAATTTTTAAGATTTTACCCTGAAACACTGGGTACAGTCTATGTCAGTATTTTAAAATACCAATTTAAACACAAAATAATCAAAGCTGTTTAAAGAAAGAGCTCCACTTTAAAAGCAGCAGGAATACTACATAGAAATAAAATCTGAGATGTTTAATCTGTGCCAGTATGACAGGGGGCTCTTTGGTTCCAGCAAATATTAGTCCAAGGTTAAAATAGTACGGATTCAGTGCAGTTACCATTAGGGTGGTAACTACAAATCTCAGAGTCTTTTCATTCAGAGCAACACATAAGCTACTGCATTAAAAGGTACTCCCTCCCTCTGCCCCACTGTACTCCAAAATGCCTTTAACATTATAGCCATGAATTGTATGTATGTGTTCGTGAGTGCGTAACTCTCAAATATAACAGAAGGGTAAGTTTTCCATTGTGACCTGGGACCAAATACCACCAATACCACTGAAACGGTCTGAAAAATGCTGTAACTAACTTAGATACTATTTATCTAAGTGTTAGGTTTGTTCAGTTATCCAGCAAATCAAAATAAGGCAAACATGTCCCTGCTCCACAAGAGAGTCTTGCAATCAGATACTGCTTTATCTTGATTTCAATTTAAAAATAATGCAGCCCATTATAATTCTAAGGAACTGGAGGTTGGAAGTAATGTTGAGTTATTTTTAATATTGCTTACATTGGAGTTCCAACAATCCTACATAAAAAAGCTACACGGGAAACTCAATTAAAAGAGGAAAACCAAGACAATAACCAAAGTTAACAAAGTTTCTTCAATGGAATCTGTATGGTGCTTAACTGCTAATCCAAATACAATATTCAATTAAGGCAACTGCATTTTTAAATAAATTCAGCTATTTCATATATTCAATTTTAAACTGCATTTATAATTTATCATTTGTTCTTATTAAAATGTCATAAATACCACTGATGATCTGATACTGCATGATGGTTAGAAAACCCAGCTATGAAATGCTTAGTTCACATCTTTCCTGAATCATAAATGATAAACTGAGATCAACTATAACAATCCCAGTTCCCTACACGTGATATGCTAATAATACATAAATTTCATAATGTAATCTACAGAAAGCATATTATCATGTTCAACTTTTATTTTAAAAAAGTTTGCAATATCATTCCATTTGACAGTGATCTCCAATATTCTAAATATAGACTCTCTTCCTTCCTCATTTCAAGATTCATATTCGGAAAGCTATCTGGAATCCTTTCGCATTCTTATATCAATCCATTAAAATTGTTACCTTTTACTTGTAGCATTTCAAGCAACCGTATCCCCATTATGTCCTTTCCCGTCCACACTTTTCAACTTTATTTAAGGAGGATGGCGTATTTGACTTAAGTCAAAAGACTTGCTGAAAGAGAGATATAGTCTGTTGCATGGTATTTCCCTTTTGGACCAAATCATGTGTTTTATGAAGAAAGGGAACAAAACTGATTGGATACAATTATTTGTCATATTTCCACAAATTTCGAATACATGTAGATGACAATTTTTTTAATTTTATTGCAGCAGGTATTTTCACTTTCTGTCAAGAGTACTCTGCAAAACATTCAAATTCTTTCCTTTTAAAAAAATAATAAACAAGTATGCATAATATTACCTATTTATTAAAGATATTTCCATTCCAGTTCTACATATATCCCCATCGCAGTACACTCCCCCTTTCAGGATTAGCAACAAGATACAAAGATGCAAAATAGTGTTAAGAAGCACAAAAAATTTAAATGAGACGGAAGAGGAAATGAAACATACCTAAAATTAGCTTCCACCAATATCACTGATTTTTTCCAAACCAAATAGTGTACTTCCACATGTCTGTACACTAGGTGTTATATACTTGCTCTTACTTTTCCCACAAGGTTTCTATATTCATTTTAGATTTCCCACATTTTTTTCTCCTCTACTGAACCCTTTCATGCTTCCTTTAAATATTTGTTTTCCAATTCAGTCCTCATTCAAATCTCATTATATACCGAAACCATTTAGCATATTTCTCATATAATGGTTCATTTTTGTATTCTGTAAATCCATACATACCAGTTCCACACATGGTCATTCATTCTTGTGTCTTCAATGGCCTAATTACCTGCTTCGTATTTCTTTTCTTGTCCCTACCCCATTCATATCCCCTAGCAGAACAATTTTTCTCTTGGATTGATTTCAGCACAGAGTAAGATTGTTTTTCCAAACTATCACCAGTTCATGGATTCTTATTTGCATATTTACAAATATATTCACCACAATGTAATTCATATACATTGTTACTTTCTGACCTCCAGTTTAGCCTTTTCATTTATATTTAAACTGCATTTTACCCTTTATAAGTTTTACATCTTTTTTCTTTCAGTTGCATAGTATTTGCTTTTTTAAACTCATTTCCATGTTTTATGATTATAAAACATCCCAAAGCAATTTACAGTAAACATAACTTTGAAAATAAAAAAGATAAAAACAAAATAAAACAGAATATCTCTGTATTGGTACACCTTGGTACCTTGTCAATACACAATGCAGGCATCCATCTAGAGAAATTCTAGTTGCGCATTGTTGCCAGAAAGCAAAAAGCAAGCAAGCAAGAAAACAGTGCGCTATCTCGAAAGCAACTTGACTCCAGATATGAACAGTGAATCATGAGGAACAGTTAAGGCAAACCTATAGATTAGGCAATGAGAAAAGTTAACAGAATGCCTAAATCTGAAGTACTTTCATGTGGATTCCTTCACTGAACAAGGGATGGCATAAATGGCCAGTTATAATCTTAAGTTTCTATGAAATGAGAAATCTGCTCAGTTAAGTCTAATATGCATTTATTGTACAAATGCATGGCAAAAACATGTGAAATTCTCTTGTTATTCTTTCTGATATGCTTTAGATGAAAATAGAACTATTCTATATATGTAAAGGCAAAGTTTAAGGATAAGTTATAGTACAACCTTCCATATGCTAGAAACTTGCTGAATTGTATATTTGTAAAAGATATATTTTATTTACACTGCTGATTCCTTTATTGTGTACTAGTTATACAACCATTATAATGCCGTGGCTTTATCTGTGGTCCTCTATCCTCTACTTTGATAAAATACTTAGAGTGCTTATCACAGCGGTTATGACCTGGTCACCAATGTACCAAAAAGAAACTCATTGGATTTTTCTTGCCTTTGTATTTAAGTATTTTCTACTAATTCAGTTATTTCATTTCTATTTCACAAAGAAAGCAGTGAACTGCAACCATTCATATGAAATACGTAGTCCTTTTTGGGGGGGGCGTGTCTGAAAAATGGGGATATATCAATTTTTAATGATTTCCTCAAAATTAAGATAAAAGAAGTAAATTTGGAAAATAGGTACAGGTAGTCTTCATCTTACAATCATTTCAAGGGTTATGACATTGAAAACAGTACCTTATGAACAGTCTTCACACTTACGACTGCTGACCATCCCCATGGTCACGGGTTTAAACCTGGATGTTTGACAATTGGCATGTATTTATAACAATTGCACTGTCCCAGGGTCATGTGATCACCATTTGTAACCTTCCCAGCCAGTTTCCGAAAAGCAGCCAATGGGCGAAGTCAGATTCACTTAACAACTACAGGATTCACTAACAACTACAGGATTCACTTATCATCTGCAGTTATTTGTTAAACAACTGTGGCAAAATGTCATAAAATGAGGCACAACTCACTTAACTATCTTGCTACCTATAGCACTTTCTTTTAATTTTCCTCAAAACTAAGATAAA